AAGTATTGTCCACTAATTTTATTTTCCCTTTCGTATTCTGTATTTGAGCAGGGTGGATGATATATAGTCAGGAAGGTAAAATCGATTTAGGTTATCTCCTTTTATGTTACAGTTGCCTACTGCCTATGTTGCAAGTATTTTATGATTTGGGGTCGGAACTGTTTAAAACCACGATAACTTTATGCTCTTTTTGGGTATTCTAGGCAACTATAGTAATTATTGATTTTATCAGATGCCCTCTACTTTAGTTGATATTATAATTTTATGGTTGCCTGGTCAAAGGACCACAGAATGCCAGTGAAAAAGCAAACAGAATGCAATAGTTTGATAAAGTTCAATAAATGTAGGTCAGTGTGAATTTGTAAAATGATGCAGTTCTATGCAGAATTATTAAAATCAGTGTATTGCTGAAATCATCACTTGAAGACCTTTCCAAAAATGCCAGGAACAATATTATATGTGTATTTTTAACCTTTATACAGACAGCAGGAGCTCTGTCAACTGAATTTGCATCTCATAGCTGGAACCAGCACCACTGTCTACTGCATAATGAAGTATCAGCATAACAATGTTACCTTGTCATCTGAAAATGTTTTCTTCTCAAACTATGTAAAGCAAATAATTTTATCATTAACAAATCAATAGCTACTTCACAGCTTTGTTACACAAGATCATTTTTAAATGTAGGCTTTCAGCACATATGTTGATAATCCTTGTGCCTATTTTCAGTTACACAAAGCATTCCCTATGACAAGGAAAACACACTTTGTGTTACCCGGTATATTCACTTTTTTAACAAAAGAACGTGTGCTAAACATGTGCTAATAAACATCGATATTCTTCTGATTTGTTGAACAATTTTCAGATCATGAATAGACACTAAATTTGTCAAAACTTACACATTTTTCCTCTACAAAGATATTCCATGAAAAATCAATGTGAGAAAAGCTCTGATTGGACTAGGTTTATATGGGAATCCAGGTTACAGGGAAGATGCAGTAGATGCTATTACTATACTGACATAAGCTTTAAGATAATGAAAATATTATGTGCTAGAAAATTACCCTTTTTTCAGTTATAACAGTTTAATAAGCAGTACTATTCCAACTATGAGGCATGCAATAGACAGATCATTTATAAAAATAGAGCAAGATAATTAATAAAAGTAAAACGTGTTCTGCATTTATAGAACTCTTTGTCTCCTAAAAAAATTTGGTGAAGCCTAAAAAATGCAGGCCAAACAATTTGCCTATATTCAATTTTCCTACTCCATACTGAACCGTGAAATGTTCATCCTGGAGCAAATTTGGTCCAGAGTCCACAGAGCATCATGCATCATAGCTAGTATTCACAATGTCATATAGTCTCAAGAAAAGATTGTTTACTGTTGCTCAGTGAACTTAAAATATATATGAATAAAGATAAGACTGGCAGTAGTTGTAAGGGTTTAATGCAAAGATCATTTAGTTTCAATGAATCTTCAATTGACTTGAATGGAATTTGGATTTATTTTCTCTGTGCAGGCATGCACGTAGAAAGTCATGAGCATGAAACCTCTTTAATTAACACATTTACATGTGAGCTATCTGGAAGTTAACTCTATTTAGAAGTCTATGTTTTTAGTATAACACTTATGCTTATACACATTTTTCTATATGGTAACAATGAAATACTGCACAGTGCAGAACCTGTTAATATTGTTCTCTTATTGTTTGAAATAGTATATTCATATCCAGCTACTTTTAGATTCTCTGCTTTTGTTGCTCCTATTCAAACTCTTGAAAGTGTGATAAAGGAGATGAAAGTTTCAGGTTCAAATAAGTATTTTTTTCTAAAACTTCTATGCTTTCTTATCAAGCAATGTTTTGACTACTGCATACCCTTATTTCTCTCCCTTCAGGAAAGAATTATCTTGGGAACTATTATCCCTGAGACAGAATTGTCTGCGTGTTCTGTACACCTGTACAGAGCAGCATAATGCATAATAGAAATACTTTAGCACAACTGACAAAATGAGTAGACTACAAAAGTATGTTCAAAATTATTTGTAACTGCTTAAAAAACTTCAAACTCTTAAATGGATAATGGTGTAACATTAATGAGGACACGTGATATTCAGGAAGGATAGTGATGATTTGGATCTTAGTACTGCCTAAAAAAATCATGAATTACACTGAACTTCAAGAAATATTTTAGACTTCATTTCATTTCAGGAAGTCATTGTTATTAATCATTCACTCAAACTAATGTGGTAAATTCAGTTTAATGACAATGGGAAACATTTTGCATCCCATTGTCATTACACCTGTAATACAAATTTGTATTTTATAATTATTTGGGGGTTTTCATCGCCAGTTGTGTTCTAAATAACAACACTAACAGATCCACTGTTGGGAAGTACCTGGTGTATACAAACATGAACAAATGGTAGCAATACAATGATAGACATTTAATCAGTTATAGATAGCGGTACTAAAGCTGAATAGAGGACTCTGTCATCAAAAAGAAACAAGAAAAACTATTAAATATGTAAAAACATAGATCATACACTCTGGTATTGAAGCAATAGTGGCATAAAATAAAAGAACAATGTTGAAACTGTACGCATTGTCTATTTATTCATTTGTTTATGATTGATTGATATAGAACAAAGAGTTTCCAAGTAAAAATGCTTATGTACCTACATGCAGTGACTCTGAAATCTGTACCTTAAGGACAAAGAAAGGTCGCCAATCTCTCCAACTCCTAGTTCTTTGTCAAAAATGGACACAGTTAATGAGGTTTGTTTGGTACAGCACAAATTCTCAGACACAGATAGAGATCCTTTCAATGGAAACAAATTTGTTTGGCTTTACCAGGTTACTTAGCGATTAATAATAGCCTTGAGATGCAGGTCAGAAAGGTCATCGTCCCCGCTTGCCAACACAATCTAAAATGTGCAGCTAGTCCAGCTCTGCGGGCTTTGAGGCCCCGAAACACTATGCATAAAGTAAAACAGGCTATTTTCCAACTTCTTTTTTCATATTAATAAGCAATTTTCAAGAGAAGGGTGGCAAAATGGGGGCCATGCCACTCTAAGTAATTCATTTATTTTGCAATTTAATCTTATGTTGGAAAAAAATTACACTGCTGCAAAAGCATAGCATGGTGATTTTTAAACGTCAGTGTGCTTCATAAGTAACCTTGTATGAAATATTGTATTAGCAGCCCTTAACTGCAGTAAACTGCAACAAAAATATTTCCAGAGGTTGAAAAAGACCTATACATCTTTTCCAATCTTTAATTTATTTCTCTTTAATTCTATTTTTTTTCTTTTACATTTGGAATAAACCATGTTTAATTACTTAATATTTTACTTATTTAGTTGATAAAAACTTGAAAGATAGCATGAAACAAATAAAATCCTACATTGCAACTTGTAGTTTAAAATGTGATTTTGGAGTGTTCGTATTTATAAAGCAATTATTGCTCTTTCACATATTTTGATGAACTAATTTAATGTTATGATAATTAAAATATTAAGAATAAATCCGAGTTACAATCTTAAAAACACTTTCAGGAGCAATATGACTTCCCCATAGGATTATTCATATCAGCAAACTTATTCATGTGCATATTTTGACAGGATTTGACCCTTGTCCTAGAGTGTGTTATTTGGTACTCATTGAAACAACTGAGACTATTAATGTGGGCCTCTCTTAATAATCTGTTTTGTGGGAATATTTGAATTATCCAGATATGTGAGTAGTATTTTTTTGCTTTTTTATTTTATCATATACACACATGCTTAAAAAAAATAAAGACTAGAATTTACTCGCTTAATTAACTTTTAAACAATCTAAATGCTTGACTGAATATGCTTGGTGTCTTTGGCACACAGGTTAATTTGAACTAGCCATTTCTTAATAACAAAAATAACAAATGTTAATCAAACTAACCTTTTTTAACTGGGTCAAAAAAAATTCCGTGCACGTGCACTGTACACAATAGCACGGAATTTTGTTTCTTATAGAACATTAATTCGCTCCATTGTTTGCATAATTTCTGGCAAGCCTGGCAGTATGAAGAAAAAAAAATCCATCGAGGGAAATCTACACTCATTTTCTCTTAAAGTTTTTCTCTGAAAACCATGAGTTTTCTCCATTATCCAAGAACTCATTCCTCACTTCTTTTACGACAGAAGAGTTTTCTACCACCTATGGACTACACAGACCCAGCCATTTAGATGACGCTGGGTGTTTGCAAACCTCTGCCGTGCAGTGTCTCGCGAGGCAGTTCCGTTCTTGTTTCTATGGTGGCCTGTGGTGCTCCTGTTGTTCTGGAGTAGGAAGGAACCTGTGCAAGAAGCCCAGTGCTGTGGAAACTCCTCTTAAGCCTATTGCACTCAGGAAAGGTTTACATCCAATTCTTCTCTATGCCTGCATTCCCAACCTTATGGAAAGCTCAAGGGTCTAGGAATGAATGTCATCTCTTAGCCTGTGACTGCTGTCCTCACCCATTCCATAAGGTCTCCCCCTGTTTGCAGATCAGAAAGGGGTGTTGCAGGGCAGTAGCAGAAGCATAGGTGAACCACTTGTATTTTGAAGCCATTTGAAGGAAAATCACCATATTATGGTAACTTCCGCTTAGAGAAATTCAAATCAAAATGACTAAACTAAAAAGATCAAAAAAAAGGACATCTGCGAATGCTGTTTTATCAAGCTATGAAAATACCAAGTTTGACATATTCTTCAAAAGAGTAAACAATATGAACTAATATGCTGCTCATAGTTTCTATCATTTGAATCCTATTTCTTCACAGTTATGCCAATGTAGAATCCTGCTGCTGTAGAACTGAATAAACTGTAATTTTACATTCCAGTGGTGTCAGTATACTGCTAATACATAATAGCAGAGTGCTGGGGAGCTATGAAAGGGTTAAAGTAAAATAAAACATTAGCACATCTTTTACTGTTGTAGTATAATTAGCAGACTTATTTTATTGCAGGAGTGAACTCCAAGCATACACAGAAATGAAAGAAAATGAAGAGAAAAGGAAAGACCTAGAAAAGAAAGAAAAGGAAAAGAAATACCAAGCCCGAAAGATGCATTACCTCCTTAGCACTGAGCAGGTTGGTATACCTGTCCCTGACAGCTCATGCAAACCACTTGGGCCCCCAGCCTGACAGAGATAAACTAGCAGGCTGAATGGGACATGACTTGTTGAAAAGATATCACAAAGACACTACTTCGAGTTCAATTTAGTGCTTTTCTATAGGCAAGAGCAGGTACCATGACTATTCTGTGACAGCAGCTTCATAGAGGCAGCATCAGCACTGCTGGCAGAAAGAGTCCAAGTCAGCAGTTTGATCTGCCACTGTGATAACACAACACGAAGGGCATAACCTCGCTTTAAAAACTCATTTTGACTGGCTTATTGTTGTGTTGTTGCACTTGTCAAGAGCTAACAAGTTATTAAGCTGAGGAGGAATTTCATTTTTTCCCCCCCTTTTTTTAATTGAGCTAATGCTTGGACTGGTGCTGTGTTCTGGTTGTTTTTAGGATAAATTGTAAATGCAGGTTTTCAGCTAAAGCTTTTCCTAGAACTGCCCGGATCAGCTTATTTAGCATGACTGTTTTCACATAGAAATGCCTCATAAATTTTAAATATTTTCTGATTAATTTGTTTTGTATTGATAAAAGTGGTATATTTTTTCAAGATTTCTTATGTAAGCTGCTTTATAGATACTTGACTATGGCAGTAGATGTACCTTACACAAAATTGAAATGGCTGATAAATCTTGTGGGTTTGCCTTTTTTTTAGTCCATTTTGTGAACTTTTGCAAAAAAACCCCACCTGTCCATAAATGTTTGGTGACCAGTTCTTCGTATGAATAAGGAATTAACATTTAATTGGGGCATGTTAGTATGAACACAAATGCTTGTTTTTCTTAGGTTGTTAATTATAATCTACATGTAAGAACTGTTAATCCTAAAGAATGCAGGAAAAATACCTTTACACTTAGGGACAGAATATTTGATTCTTCCCTCTGTTTGGGAATCATTCATGATGTATCCAATAAATAGAAATATAGGTTACGTGGCTGTATATTGGTTTTGAAAACTCAATTCAAATTTAAGCAATTTTATCTGAAAAAAATAGCATAGTAAAATATTGGTAAAAGTAGCATTACAAGTTTTCTAAGAGGCTTTTAGACAGAGAAGCTAGTTAATAACTGAAATTAGCTTACAATAATTGATTTATCTGGATGTAGATCTAGAATGTTAAGCATAATCTATGCAATGTTTTTATATTGTGTTAAACTGTAGTAAATGGGGTATTCTTGTTTTGAACAGAAGAATTTATGTAAACAAATGCATAAACATTAGTAGTTTACCTGGAATTTGCTTAGAATACAAACCTTGCCCAATTAGAGACATTGAGTGACCTGTGGTCTAGAGATTTTAGTAAACTTCATTCACTTCTGATGAGACTGGTTTGGCAAGCTGTGACACATTTTTAAGGAGTGGCAAGTAGTTCCTTTTTTCAGCCAGCCACCTGGAGGACTACTGATTGAGGACAGGAATAACTGTTATGTTCTGATGAATTTGGGTTTCTAATTTTACAGAATTAGAATTCACCTAGCAGTGTTTTACAGAACAAAAATGCCGTTTCAAGTATATCTTACAGTTTTGAATCTGGTTTACTACAGGCAAAAAGGGTGAAAAAGGGTGTTTACTTATTGACAGAAAGGAATTAAGGAGTTATTACTCCTCAATTTTAGTAAAGAAATTAATGTCAAGTTCGATTCTCCACTTCCTATGAGCTGAAGCCCAGAAACCCATCTCAGAAGTGTGTTACAGGTTAAAAAGGGAGATGCTCAAGCATTGTAGCATTGCACAATGTAGCAAATGATACAGTGATCCTTCCTGGCCTTAAAGACTATTAATCCTTTATTGATTGCTGAATTTGCTCTTCTTATTCTACAGATCATATATATAAGAATGTGCCTATTCCAAATTGCTAGCATTGTTTTACATTTCAAAAAGTAAAACTTAATATTGCTACTGTCATGAATGTACAGGGGTGTCTAGTGTGCATCTAATAGCATGGCCTGTGATGTAGTCAACATGTTTTGTCTTTTTCATGCATTAACTTACTAACCAAGCATTTATTTCTTCCATTAACTCTTACATTTATAAAGGAAAAAAAAAGAGGAAGAAATGGATATCAAACTGAATTAGTATGCATTATTTGTTGTTACTGGTACCAGGTATATACACATAGTCTTACATAGACAGATGGGAACTTGCTTCGATTGCTTTCCAGGCCAATCTGGAGCTATAACATGGGGCTGAACCCAAACTAATTAGCCCTGTTGAGAGCCACGGTATATTAGCTCAAGAATTGATGCAGTTACACAGCTCCTGGTCAGCTCAAAATATGGGCAGAACAAGTGTGTATATGCTTTAAACTCGGGAACAAGCTGTTTGATCTGCCTACAAAATATTATATAGGCATACTTACATTTTATTTGTCTGGAGTTCCCTACCTTTCTGAGGGGAAGGTGTATATATTTCATACCATTACTATGAAACTGACATTCAGGGAAATAATCGGATGAGAAAAATGCATGATATTACGCTATGCTTTACAATTTCCCTATATTTTTTGCAAACAGTTGACTAAGTGTATTTTGCCATAGAAACTTACCCTAATACAACCATTTCCCATTGCTACTTGTAGAAATACATTACATTTACACATTTTAATCCACACAAGAACTAAACAGTTCATTTGAATAAAAGAATGTTAGTTTTTTATCAAATAAGGTTAAGGAAAAGAGAGTTAAACAAGCTAAAATATTTGCATAATCAAAAATTGCTAACAATAATTATTAACAAATATCAAATTGCTGCTATTAATAATATGTATTAATAATTTATATTGATAATATAATTGTTTACTCTCTTTCTGTGAAAGTACAATGTTATGCGTCCTGCCAATTTCAAAACACAGCTTTTTGCTTTTCTAAAAACTAGCTACATATTTTCTTGTGTGGTACTAGTAATATCCATGCAATACAAATATAACCCTAGATGTGGGCATAAGAGTGAACTTGAAAATAGAAAGTAAATTTTTATTTGATTTAAATTAAGGTGGGTGGCAAATAATGTCTGGGGAAATAAATCATGACCTCTAAAGCTTCATGGTTACAAAATACTGAGTTTTTAATCAACTTGCTTTATATGCCAGTAGTATCAATAACTAGTCAAGTATCATCTTACGCACAACCTCCTTTTGTTTGAAAGAAATTTCTCGGACATGATTCCCATAATTATGAAAAAAACCAAACCAAGACAGCAGTCCATCCCTGCCCTTCTTATCACGTGATAAGTTACGTTGTCTGCTCCACTTACGGATTGCTTGTTGCAAGAGATTCCAGTGTAAAATACAGCAAGAAATAAATCTGTGAGAAGAAAATGTTTTCCTTGCCTGTTTTTACCTCAACAGTCTGATGAATTCTGGCTTCATGATGAACATGATAAAAATTGCAGTACATATTTAACAAACTTTTGCTTTTGTTAAGAATATTTCTTGTCATTTCTTATTAGAAACACAATAGAAATAGCAATGTAGATGTATTTTTTCATTGTTTTATCATGAACTGCACCGTAATTTCTAATTGAGACATGAAACATATAATAATTAAGTTTTTCTTATCACAGTATGCTATTTCCACTACAGTGGTAATTATCTTTTTTCTAGTTATCGTTAATAAATGAATTATTTATTAAATGTGGGTTTCTATTATAAACATGTTTACCTATGTAGATTACCATTTTATATTCTCTTTCTGTGTTAACAAAATTCACCACAATTAAATAAGTCCTTTTTTCTGCTCTTTGTCACTTTTGCAAGGCTGTCATTTGTAGTAAGGGCCATCGTTTGCAAAAGGCTGACAAACAGCCTTTAAAGTCAACAAAAGGTGGATTGGCTGAATGCATCGAGGTACTTCATAGAAGTGAGTGTGAAGAGCTCCCATTTGCTGGGAACATGTGAGTGCATGATTCCTTCATTGGTATTTCCAGCCTGCTAAGAAATTTTGCAGGTGGTCTTTGTCTTACAACAATGATTAAAATTAGGTATGCAATAGACTAAATCCAAAGACCTGATATCAAACTAGAGGGCAGACCTGTATTGTTTAAGCATCAGCTGACAGAGCAGGCAGGAATACTGAGGTGAGTCCGTGAGCAGGATCAAGTGTGCCAGTGGCTGCTTGTGCTACTGTTGCTACCCAGCTGGAGGATCTGCAAGTCCACAGTGTGGTGGGCAGCAGAAGCCACTGGTAACTGAGTGGAGTCAAAGTGGTAGAAGTGACAGAAGGAGCAGAGTGATGTGAGTCTTGTGAAGTCATTGAGATAAGAAGAAGATGCCTCTAGAAACAGTCTTGGGAGTGCTACAGCTGAAAAAGCCGTTTGCCATGACAATTGCTCCTGTCACTGAGAAAATGGAAAATCAGCAGAGCAAGAGATCTTTCACCTTTACTCCATAGTTTTTGCCCATATAGCAAAAAATACTGGGTGAGGTAGAAGAGAATTCTAATTCTCTTTTCACAGAATCACAGAATGGTAGGCGTTGAAAGGGACCTCTGGAGGTCATTTAGTCCAACCCCTCTGCCAGAGCAGGTTCGCCTAGAGCAGGGTGTACAGGATAGTGTCCAGGTGGGTTTTGATGTCTCTAGAGACAAAGACTCCATCAACCTCTCTGGGCAGCCTTTTCCAGCACTCTGTCACTCTGAAAAATAAAGAAGTTCCTCCTCATATTTAGATGGAACTTCCTATGTTCAAGTTTGTGACCATTACCTCTTGTCTCGTTATGGGGCACCATTGAAAAAATGACTGGCCCCACCCTACTGATACCCACCCTTTGAGTATTTATAAGCATTGATAAGATCTCCCCTCACTCTTCTCCAGACTAAGAAGACCCAAGTCCCTCAGCCTGTTCTAGTCCCCTAATCATCTTTGTAGCACTTTGTTGTACCCTCTCCAGCAGTTCCCTGTCCTTCTTGAACTGGGGAGCCCAAAACTGGACACAGTACTCCAGATGTGGCCTCACCAGGGCAAAGTA